GGGGGGGGGGAACGTGTATGCAACTAAATAAATTAAATCATTTTCTGAGATATGACAAGACCCACCATATATCACAATCTGTGGTATAGTGAAGTACATTATAATGCAGTTTTACTGAATTTAAAATATTTCTCTAATCTTATATGACCTGTCTTGGTTTATGCCATCTCCTGCTATTTCCTTGGTGATGTCTTCAAAGTGTAGGATGTTCAAAACTGTTCCACCTTTGACCAGCAGTCTGTAAGTGCATCTCCCAAGTCATGGCCCATTTATAATACACGGACCATGAAAAGGAACACTTCTGCTTCCGTCACACCAGGAAGTGGGGAGGGGCTGTCTCCCAGTTTACCCCAGCAATGTTGGTAACAGAAATATGTTTCCACCACAAGGAACTGCTTATCTCCCACACAGAACAAGAATACTCCTAGTGGGCATGAACCACTGTTTATCTGTAGCACTTCACTGCTGTCCTTGATATGAAGAAGCCCTCAAAAGGCATGGCCACCCTTGTTCATTCCAGAAGGCAGCCCCAGTTCTATGATGGTGACTGCTACTGGGGTGAAGTTGCTACAGAGGATGGTGGACAAAGTGTCTATCCTCCTCTTCATGCTGCTCCTCCCCCTCCCCCTCCTCCTCATCCACCTCATTCTCCTTGAGTAAGCATTACTTCTGCTGTCCAGAATTAGCTCTATTTCTCCAGTCAGCAAACCTCTTTCTTGAAGATATGGTAACAAATTAGCATTTACAAGCTCTTTGCTAGTATTGTAATACTGACACATTCACTTTTTGTGTTGTGTGCCAGCTGAGACAGATTCACTAAACAACCTACTACATTATGTCACTTCAAAGACAAAACACGATAAATCTTAATCACTTTACCACTTACTGTATAACAGCAAGAAACATGGGACACATGACTGTGTGGTCCAGAGGGGTCATGGGACAGGAGGTGTGTTATTTACCACAAGATCAGAATGTCAATTATTGGGTTCATATACGACTATTTTCTTCATAAAGCCACAAACACTGGCACAATGGTAATGTTCTATACTTATATTAGAAAAGAAAATGACTCTTAACCGTTCAGCGTGGTTTGACGTGTATGTTTCGTCAAGGTATTTAAATCGTCTGCGGGGGTTCGACGTCTATGTTTCGTCCAGCTGCACACCTATATTATAACGCCCATAATAATTGATGGTTTTGCTGTAGATTGTTAGATTTTTCGCTGGCCTGTTGTCAGGAGAACCGTATATAATGAGCCACGAGTTTAGCTGCGCTAAGTCATCGTTACATATTCCTGTCTTGCAGCAAAATCGTGTTGCTTCTGGTAGTGGTTTCCTCCTTCAAACTGTTATGAATGGCATG